AGTAGTGTGGAATGGCAACATCTTGATGATTTCATCATTTTCTCTTTGAGTTCCATGTGCGATCCATTTCAGTTGGCGCTGCTGTTAGTAGTCCTCAGGTTGCCATAGGGTCTTTGTTTGTGAATCTGTATCACAATGTTCGAAGAAGAAGGCGTCATTCGTTCGAATCCATTTTAAACCATTGATCTTAGAAAGCAGTTGCATAGATCTGACAGTTTAGATATTTCTGAACAGATTTGGCGCTATGCATGACATCCACATGAAAGTCTCAATCTGACGTGGCTATTTAAGAACATGACTCGAGTTTTCAGGTTGAGGTTTTAGTTCTGTAGCAACTTGCGGTGTTGGGCGAAACTATCCCGGTGCAGTTTATTCTATGTTCAATTTCCTGTTCTAGTATACTAAATTTGTTATAACTGATCCGTACAAATTATTTAGTATCTACTAATTCAACATTCTGAATTTTAATGATGGATTCATGGTTGTTACCATCACTGCTTGTTACCATCGCTGTCCCAAAAGGACCGGACTCCTCCTGACACACAAGAATCAGATCAGACCCAAAATGGACTATTGTACCCATTCTCTGCTGGACTTACACAATCCTCACTTTCAAAAGCGTCAACGCTACTTTTTGGGTGATGAATTGTTATTCATCCTAAAATCCCGTCCCCACAGGCGAAACGTCGCAAGTTCCTCGAAACACTATTGTTTTTTCCATGGAAAATGGCCTGACAAGCTACATTCATGACTTCTACCATTTCAGACCTTTACAGCTGAGACATATCATATCACGCACATTGGGACAAATCAGCCACACCCCCTTCGTATTCCATCAGTAAGGAGGAAGTTCCATTCAATCAGTTTCTTCCCAAGAAGCGTTGTGGGATAGATACTCCTGATATACCCTCCTTGACCACTATAATCTTAACCTCTTTGAGTCCAGATTCAATCGTTATCTATCCAACATATTCTCATAATTTGCACTTCTTCCCCACTCCTCTTATGTTCATATAACAAACTCATTCCGTAACGCTCTACATTGAGTGATCTTGAGCCTTATATTGGTGAACAACAATAATTGACATAAGATGAAAAAAACTCCTAGAATTGATTGACTGCCTGCAGAAATATATTGATGCAGAGGTCTAGCGTTTGTTAAGTAAATATTTGTCTTCTATAACAAGTGATGGGAGCAAGGATTTGATTAATTGATTCTTTTTGATGAGTTATCAACCCTTTGCCGGCGATTTAAAGGCAGAAAATATTTTTCGAATGTAAGTTGTTTTGTTGGCGTTAATAATAGCTTTAGTGATAGAAGTCTTACAATTTAACCCATAGCAAGGGGAGAGGGAAGAGGTGGCGGCATAACTTTCTTAAAGGTATTTGCGCGTAAGTGAATATAATGAATCGAACAGGAATTGGAAATCGGCTCTCCGATTAACAATCCCCAGCCATTATCCATTACACCACCCGCACATCCAAGCTTACAGCACCTGGTATTCTCAAGCGGTCACTCATCTAGGTACTGACCAGGCTCGCTGTTGCTTCGCTTCGGTGACCATACGGGATAGGAACAAGAAGAACTGTCCCCATTTTTCAAGGAGGCGTGTATTATCATGATCTACAAGCAAAAACGTGACCCTACAAACAGGAAAAACGTGGTTTACACTTGCCTTCTAAGTAAAGTAGGTATTTTTGTTGCACTCGGGTGTAAGTGGGGGGAGAGATGTGCAGGGTGTGTAAAGGTTACCAAAAGATGAAAATAAAATCGGAGAGACGAGTTCAATTTCCGGTCAAGTCGATTTTGTTCGCTTTCCTTCTAATATGCTTGGCATAAATCACATCTCCCCTCCCTAGCCAGGGCGTAAATAGCAGGGAAGACTATCTGGTCTTGCGTAGTAAACAATCTAAAACAAAAGAAATTACAAATCGCGGTGATGCAACGAGAAACAACTTCACTCTCTTTCCCAAGACGACACGGCTATTCACAAATAATTAAGAAAAGGAATTTATAGAGAAGGCGACGAGAAACAACTTCACTATCTTTCCCAAGACGACACGGCTATTCACAAATAATTAAGAAAAGGAATTTATAGAGAAGGCGACGAGAAACAACTTCACTATCTTTCCCAAGACGACACGGCTATTCACAAATAATTAAGAAAAGGAATTTATAGAGAAAGCGACGAGAAACAACTTCACTATCTTTCCCAAGACGACTTTCCAAGACGACACGGCTATTCACAAATAATTAAGAAAAGGAATTTATAGAGAAGGCGACGAGAAACAACTTCACTATCTTTCCCAAGACGACACGGCTATTCACAAATAATTAAGAAAAGGAATTTATAGAGAAAGCGACGAGAAACAACTTCACTATCTTTCCCAAGACGACACGGCTATTCACAAATAATTAAGAAAAGGAATTTATAGAGAAAGCGACGAGAAACAACTTCACTATCTTTCCCAAGACGACACGGCTATTCACAAATAATTAAGAAAAGGAATTTATAGAGAAGGCGACGAGAAACAACTTCACTATCTTTCCCAAGACGACACGGCTATTCACAAATAATTAAGAAAAGGAATTTATAGAGAAGGCGACGAGAAACAACTTCACTATCTTTCCCAAGACGACAGGGCACTTTATGGATAATAAAATGCATCTGTGGACAGGGCAACGGTGAACAACTCCAATATCTTTTCTAAGTCGACGGCGTAATGAACAATTATTAAAACAAAGGAAACTATGGAGATCCATGATCGCCTACGTCCTGAATTGTAATGACATTTTAAAACAAAGAAGCTTAATATCAAACTTGCTTCTCCAAAAGCCGAAAGTCTGAGAATGTCACAGCACATAACAAATTAATAATAAAAAAAACTAGCTTTGACGCCACTCGACTAAATGTCATTAACACAAGATAGTTCGCGACATTTTCCCTTTAATCCCGGACTTCATGGGGTTTACAGCAAGGTGAATGACCTATTGTCTTACATGATCCCAACATAAAGCTTAGCTTAGTATGACACAAGGTGGATTATGTTACTAGGAAGATTGTGTAGCGACAACCGAAGTGAGCCGACGTACATAAAAATAAACAAAAAATAAATAATATAAACCAAAAAAATAAAATGTGTTACGCGACCAAGTTTTAGGGTTGGAAGAGTTCGTACCCCCTCCCTCTCGACACAACACACAATTTATGATCGCATTATGTGGTTTATCAACCATTCTATAATTTGTCTGGTTCCCTTGGCTATTACTGTAGACATCAAGGCATACTCTTGACCTTCTGTTCAGAATATAATCAATATTCGAAAATTTGAGCACCGAGCACTGGTGCAAACGGGAAATGCACAACACAATTCTATCAGTGAAAAGAAATGAAAGAATGTAGGTATTGTTTCGTTTGGAAAATCTCAGGGCCCGAGTTGGGCTCGTTAGGGCGCAAAGTGGTCAGGAATTGGGCTCGTTAGGGTGCAAAGTGGTCAGGAATTGGGCTCGTTAGGGTGCAAAGTGGTCAGGAATTGGGCTCGTTAGGGTGCAAAGAGGTCATGAATTGGGCTCGTTAGGGTGCAAAGTGGTCACGAATTGGGCTCGTTAGGGTGCAAAGAGGTCAGGAATTGGGCTCGTTAAGGCGCAAAGAGGTCACGAATTGGGCTCGTTAGGGTGCAAAGTGGTCACGAATTGGGCTCGTTAGGGTGCAAAGAGGTCACGAATTGGGCTCGTTAGGGCGCAAAGTGGTCAGGAATTGGGCTCATTAGGGCGCAAAGTGGTCACGAATTCGGCTCGTTAGGGTGCAAAGAGGTCACGAATTGGGCTCGTTAGGGCGCAAAGAGGTCACGAGTTGAGCTCGTTAGGGTGCAAAGAGGTCACGAATGAGTGACAAAGGGTGCAAAATATCCGTTCTAGTTCCACGTGCCATGTGGGACACATGGCACAGTGGATAAAGGTGTTAGTTAGATCCAGTGACAGGACCCAAAGAGTGTGAGTTCGATACCCGGTTAAGGCAGTGCAGAACTTTCAGAGGGAAATTAACAGGAGATAACTGACCTCCATTAAACATGGCACATGGAACTAGAACAGTCTACCCCAGTGAGCGAAATAAAGGGTTCAGTTTGACATTCCAACCACCCGAAGAAGGCCGGAGCGTACAGCGGCCGAAACGTTGTAATAGATATGGCGACAAAGATGAGGACAATAGTCCGAATAATGTAAATAATGTACATAATACCTCATTTCAGAAATATAGACAGGTGTCCAGTTTGTGATAAAAATTAATCGTAAATTGTCACCCCTCTACGGAAGCCAAACTATATATAAAAGAAAAATGAGAAAATAATCAGTCAATTGCTAATATCCCCTGTCAAGTGAACGGGGTGATTGCTGGAGAGCCCGTTTACGAAACTGGGGATGCTGAATGTAACACCAATCAACTGACAAATTTTATATTTGTATTAATTCTCTCTCTCTCTCACACACACACACACACACACACACACACACACACACACACATATATATATATATATATATATATATATATATAAATGAGGTACAGAACAGAGAGAAGAATGTTTGACATTCGTGAACTCAAAGTAAAGACAAAAATCACAGAAGCCCTTAAGAGACCTGCTCTATGCAGAGGACTATACTATTGTCACCAACACTGAGAAAAGCTTACAGGACCTTACTGAAAGACTCTCTGTTGTCACCCAAAATTATGGGCTCACTATCAGTATCAAGAAAACTGAGGTTCTATTTCAGCCTACCTCAAGATCCATGAGAATCAAACCATGTATAATTGATGGCTAAAGGTTGAACAATGTTGAGCATTTCACGTACCTTGGGAGTTGTGTCTCAGCTAACTGCTGCCTGGACAAAGAGATAACCCAATCACATTGCTAAGGCCAATTTTACTATTGGCCGTTTGAGAAAGAGACTGTGATAAAAGAAAGGCCTGACACTGAAAAGGAAAATAGCTGTGTATCGTATGATGGTTCTTCCCTCCCCTATGTATGGAGTTATGGACCATTGCTGATAACCCTTGACAAGTAGACAGGTGATTGCTGGAGGGTCCCTTCTATGAAACTCTGGAATCAGGATGACGAAGGTAACACCAATCAGCTAAGTGGCAAACTTTATATTTGTATTAATTCTCTCTCTCTGTCCATATATATATATATATATATATATATATATATATATATATATATATATATATATATTCATCCACAGACAGATTTTCGCTGTATCACAGTTCATCATTGTAGCTAGACATCCGATCGCTCCAGGCCGGGATCGAAACCTGACCGATTTGGTATCAGTCGGAGATGTTCATACGACGTGATATCTTAAAATGAAAATGAATAAAAAAAAAATAAAGATAAAAATAAAAATTGAAATTCATGAGAAATTTCTTTTTTCCTATATTACATAACTATCGATTAAGCACTCTAGATTATGGATTTCAATTTTATTTAGTTTTTACTTTTTAAGAAATGACTAAGTATGAACATTTTTTGGCTTCCGTAGGTTGGGGTGGGGAGGGTGTATCAATTTACAATGACTTTACATTGTAAACTGGATAACCCCTATTAAGTTTGATAAAAAATTATTAACAAAAGTGTATTTTTGATATTCGTGTCCTTTTGTGCATGCTTTATAGAAATATGAAAAGCAAAAAGGAAAAAAAGAAAAAAGAAGAGAAAAAGAAAAGAGAAAGTAAGAAAAAAGAAATAGAAAAGAAAAAGAAAAAGGCAAGGAAAAAGGGAAGAAGAAAAAGCAAAAAGAAAATAGAGTAGAAAAGTAAAAGGAAAAAGCAAAAAGATAAACGAAAAAGCAAAAAGGAGAAAAGGAAAAAAAAAAAGAAAAAAGGAAAAGAAAAAAGAGAAAAAAGAAAAGAGAAAAAGAAAAGAAAAAAGAAAAGAAAAAAGGAAAAAATGAAAAAAAGAAAAGAAAAAAGGAAAAAATGAAAAAAAGAAAAAGAAAAGGAAAAAGAAAAGAAAAAAGAAAAGAAAGAAGAAAAAGTAAAAGGAAAAGAAAAAAGGAAAAGAAAAAAGAAAAAAACGAAAAGAAAAAAGAAAAACAAAAAGAAAAGAGAAAAATAAAAGCAAAGGTAAAAAAGAAATATTAAAGGAAAAGAAAAAGGAAAAGGAAAAAGCAAAAAGGAAATAGCGTAAAAAAGTCAAAAGTAAAAGGAAAAAAACAAAAAGATAAACGAAAAAGCAAAAAGAAAAAAAGGAAAAAAAAGAAAAAAGAACAAAAAAAAAAAAATGTTTATTTCTGGTCCCAGTTCTTATTCTCCATCCCCAGCAGATCTCTACCCACCATCGCCCAAATCCCCAACTATTTTATTCCAGTAGTATATATTGGGTAAATATAAGAAAGGTGATTATTAGCAATAGTACTAAAAGAAATGGTAGTACCAATAGTCCGGATGCTGCAAGTCGAGATTGTGACTGTGGTCTTAGTAAAATCAGTGATAGTAGTCAGATACTAAACAGCCTCCGCTTTGGTTACAGCAGTCATGACACTGGTGATGGCATTGGTTGGTTGGCAAAAAGAGATAATCATTAGTAGAAAAGTTGTAGTAGTGAAAGTCGGAGGAGAGTTGTTCAATAAAAAAAAAAAAAAAAAAAGTTTCTTTCATTTCAAGTAATGACCTAGACACATAGAATCTATGGTTTACTATGTGAAATAATGTAAACAGTCAAGTTTTGTCTCCATGGCAATGGAGACAAAGACATAAACATTTATAAATATAAGGAAAGAAATGTATGAGCGAATGGATGGTAAGAGACTGACACACAGACAGACGGACAGCCACTTTCGAAGCTATTGCTGAAAAGTTCTCGGCCCGATCCACTTAACAGATTCTAATCAAATAACGAAATATTAGAAATATCTGGGAATCCCTTCTTCGACCTATTTACTTTTCCGTCCACCTCGTAGACACACGCGGTTACGGAAAAGTTCTCGGCCTGGCCAGGAAGCCATTTAAAAGCATACATCGAATGGTGTTGGTCATATTTTTCGGAAGTTGGTCCGGCTGAGAACTTTTCAGTACTCTTTTGTATAAGAACAAAGACACAGCTAAGACTCAAGAATTCAAAACACCAAGAAGCACATACTCGAGAAGACAAGACACGCAGTCCAAACACGTGAAGGCGTCACACTGCCCAGACTCGTGAAGGAGACACATAGCCCAGACTCGAGAAGGAGACACATAGCCCAGACTCGAGAAGGAGACAGACAGCCTAGACGCAAGAAGCCGAGACACGCAACCAAGACTCGATAAGACGAGATAAGCAGCCCAGAGAAGGACACACACAGCCCAGACTCGTGAAGATAAGACACACTGCCCAGACTCAAGAAGGAGATACATTGCCCAGCCTCGAGAAGACGAGACTCACTGCCTAGACTCGAGAAGGTGGCACACAAAACGGATTCGAGAAGACGAGACACGCGGCCCAGACTCGAAGAGGGAGACTCGACAAGACGAGACGCGCAGCCCGTACTCGAAAAAGAGACACACGGCCCAGACTTGAGGAGACGAGACACGCAGCCCAGACATAAGAAGGAGACACACAACCCAGGCTGGAGAAGACGACACACACAGCACAGGCTCGAGAATGAGACACACAGCTCAGACTCCAGAAGACGAGTCACACAGCTAGACCCGAGAAGGAGACACACAGCCCAGACTCGAGAAGGAGACACACAGCCCAGACTCGAGAAGACGAGACACACTGCCCAGACTCGAGAAGACGAGACACACACAGGCAGACTCGAGAAGGAGACACACTGCCCAGACTCAAAGAAGACGCCCAGACACACACTGCCCAGACACCTCGAGAAGACAGACACACTGCCCAGACTCAGACTCGTGAAGACTCGAGACTCACTGCCCAGGCTCGAGAAGGCGAGACACACTGCCCAGAAGACGAGTCACAGCTAGACCTGAGAAGGAGACACACAGCCCAGACTCGAGAAGGACACACAGCCCAGACTCGAGAAGGAGACACACTGCCCAGACTCGAGAAGACGAGTCACACAGGCAGACACACTGCCCAGACTCAAGAAGACGAGACACACAGCCCAGACACGAGAAGCAGACACACAGTTCAGACTCGTGAAGACGAGACTCACTGCCCAGACTCGAGAGAAGACGAGACACACTGCCCAGACTCGCCCAGAGAAGACGCTAGACAGAAGGAGCCCAGACTCGAGAAGGAGACACACAACCCAGACTCGAGAAGACGAGACACAGACAACCCAGACTCGAGAAGACGAGACACACTGCCCAGACTCCTGAAGACGAGACTCACTGCCCAGACTCGAAAAGACGAGAGACACACTGCCCAGACTCGAGAAGGCGAGACACACTGCCCAGACTCCAGAAGACTCACTGCCCAGACGAGAAGACGAGACACACTGCCCAGCTCGAGAAGACCACAGCCAGACCTGAGAAGGAGACACACAGCCCAGACTCGAGAAGGAGACACACAGCCCAGACTCGAGAAGACGAGACACACTGCCCAGACTCGAGAAGACGAGTCACACAGGCAGACTCGAGAAGGAGACACACTGCCCAGACTCAAGAAGACCAGACACACAGCCCAGACACGAGAAGCAGACACACAGCTCAGACTCGTGAAGACGAGACTCACTGCCCAGACTCGAGAAGGAGACACACAACCCAGACTCGAGAAGACGAGACTCACTGCCCAGACTCCTGAAGACGAGACTCACTGCCCAGACTCGAGAAGACGAGACACACTGCCCAGACTCGAGAAGACGAGTCACACAGCTAGACCCGAGAAGGAGACACACAGCCCAGATTCGAGAAGGAGACACACAGCCCAGACTCGAGAAGACGAGACACACTGCCCAGACTCGAGAAGACGAGTCACACAGGCAGACTCGAGAAGGAGACACACTGCCCAGACTCAAGAAGACGAGACACACAGCCCAGACACGAGAAGCAGACACACAGCTCAGACTCGTGAAGACGAGACTCACTGCCCAGACTCGAGAAGGCGAGACACACTGCCCAGACTCGAGAAGACGAGTCACACAGCTAGACTCGAGAAGACGAGACACACTGCCCAGACTCGAGAAGGAGACACACAACCCAGACTCGAGAAGACGAGACACACTGCCCAGACTCGAGAAGACGAGTCACACAGCCCAGACTCGAGAAGGAGACACACAGCCCAGACTCGAGAAGACGAGACACGCAGCCCAAACTCGAGGAGACGCACAGCTCAAAAGACAAAACACACAACCCATACTCGTCTTGTTATCTTCATTATGTGCCATGACACTTCAGGACGTAGATGATTATTGTTCTTCCCCAATCCCCCCCTCCTTCGTAGCTTTTAATAAATTTCGTCCATTTGTTATTTCTCCTAAACCTTCTTCCGCCGTCCAAGCTCACTAAGTATGTTATATGTTGTCTTCCTCTATTCCTCATGCCTTCAATATGTCCTTTGAGTATTAGGTTCTCCAAGCACTCTTTCCTCATTATGTACCCTAGAAATTTCAACTATCTCTTCTTGATGTCAAGTTTCCTTTTCGTTTACATTTTCTCTAAAATTTCGCATGTTTGGTCCATGGTATTCTTAGCATCCTTCTGTAGAAGCACATTTCTGTTGCATCAAGTTTCGTCTTCTTATTTGAGGAGATTGTCCAGCATTCACTGACATACGGCAGGACAGTACATTCACTAGAGCAAAAGAGTATTTCAAAGACGCCTTGTTATAGTGAATATAAAAAAATATTACTACCGTAATAAACCAAACTATTAATGGGTGACCCATGCTAGTATCCGTGTGTCAAATTAAGCTAAATTTATTAATTTTTAATAAATAATGAATTCAAAAATTTCTATTACGTTTTTCTTTCCAGACATTCATATTGATACACAACATATTTAAGTTTGTTATTAAAAACAAATGTCCCTATAATTATTTATTATTAAAAATAAATGGCCCTTTAATCATTTATTATAAAAACAAATGCCCCTTTAAATATTTATTATTGAAAACAAATGTCACTATAATTGTTTATTATTAAAAAATAAATTTCCACTTTAATCATTTATTATTAAAAACAAATGTCCCTATAATTATTTATTATTAAAAAAAACAAATGTCCATTTAATTATTTATCATTGAAAACAAATGTCACTATAATTGTTTATTATTAAAAATAAATTACACTTTAATCATTTATTATTAAAAACAAATCTTCCTATAATTATTTATTATTAAAAACAAATGTCCCTTTAAATATTTACTATTAAAAACAAATGTCCCTTTAATCATTTATTATTAGAAACGAATGTCCTTATAATTTTTCATCATTAAAAACAAATGTCCCCATAATTATTTATTATTTAAAACAAATGTCCCTTTAAATATTTACTATTAAAAACAAATGTCCCTATAATTATTCATTATTAAAAACAAATGTCCCTTTAATTATTTTTTTAAATAAAAGACAATTTTTAATGAAAATTCAGTGACCTTTGTTTTTATAATGTTGGGAGATAATTTGCGGTCGTATTTCTACGGCATAAAAAGACAGCCAGACAGTTGAGGGAAAAATAGAGATAGATGTGGATAAATATAGAAAGTAGAAAATCTACAACAACAGACTGTATAAAATTTGAGAAACCATCAGATAAACCAAGAGAAAGGTAAACAAGAAGATTCATACATTTTATTTTATATATTTCGTCTTGAATAAAAGTGTGTGGGAAAGAGTGATGGACAAAGAAGGTATCGCAGATTTTCTACACTTTAAATAATGCATTGATCAAAAAGGAAGAACATTTCATACAAGAATCTGGCTGCTTTGAAAGCTTAACCCATTGATGCTCACTTTGAAATATGGTATTAATTATGAAAATTAAGATAGATTTCCAGTATTAATTATAAAATTTAAGATAAAAATCCGGCATTAATTATGAAATTTAAGATAAAATGCTTGTATTAATTATGAAAAATAAGATAAAAATCTGGAAGTAATTATAAAAATTACAATAAAGTCCAGCATTAATTATGAAAAAAATAAAACTTCAGTATTTATTATGAAAATAATTATAAATTCCGGTATTAATTATAAAAATTAAAATAAAATCCATTATTAATTATGAAAATAAAATAAAAACTCGGCATTACAAAAATTAAGATAAAATCCCATATTAATTATTTTTTTAGAAAAATATCTTAATCGATGAAAAAGAGGTGGTTCTACAGGAGGATGCTGGGAATATCGTGGTCGGAGCATCTAAGCAACGAGGTAGTTTTAAGGAAAATGGCAAAAAAAAAAAATACTTATAATCAGGATCGGAATGAGGCCTCTGACATTTCTTGGATATAATAAAGTAGAAGCGCTTGGGGAATTTAACACTCACAAGACATATCGAAGAGAAAAGAGATTAGGAAGAAATAGCAGGTTACCTACCTAACGAGCTTGGGTAAATGGATGTCAGAACAGTAGGGAAGGATAGTAAAAAGACAAACATTGCTAAGAGCTACAAAGTAGATATTTACTCAACCTCCCACAAGGTCAGGTTGTGACACAAGGTCGGTTTAATGTGGGGAGCCCGAGCGCGTGCACCCGGGCAAGGAACAAAAATTCCCCGAGCCCCCGCAACTGTCGGTTGCGCTGGTCTTGGTGCGAGCACCGATCCCTCTTTCTGGTTCAAACGTTTAAAGCGAATCAAACTTTGTTTTGCTAATGTGCATTTTGTTGAAATAAAATACTTTCTATGATGAAGCTGATTCATCGGCGAAACATGGTAAAATAAAAGTTTTGCAAATTGATGACTTTATTTACCTTTTCGTCGGATTCTCATCTAAATATATAAGGGAATCTTACTTGGAATACCTGGACAGATGCTATTCCCGGTAACTGGTCAAAATCCCTGCGGGCAAAAATCCCAGCCACTTATTCCAAAAGTGGACAAACCCCCTGTTTCATAAATAAAAAGAAATAAATTTAACATTGAAAATTCTACGAACTTTTAATTCAAATGTTAATGTTTCAAGTAAGACAACAACAACAACAACAACAACAATAATAATAATAATAATAATAATAATAATAATAATAATAATAATAATAGTTGTCAAAGTACAAGGACCTTGAAATAGAAATCTCGAAAATGTGGCATATGGGAACATCAACAATCCCTGTTGTAGTTGGAGCCCTAGGACTGGTTGGAAAAGATTCCAGTAGACGAATTGAAGGGATTCCTGGAAGTCCATGCCTCAAGGAGATACAAAAATTGTTCTGACAAGTACAGCCCACACTTTACGAAGGTCTTTATCTATGTAATTTAATTTTTTTTTCTTTCTTTTTTTTTATTGTCAGTGGAAAGTGTCATGATGCCATTTCTAACCTTAGGTCCCTGGGCGGGACCCGGAAAGAAATGTGTAAACGCCAGAAATCAAAGAAAATAATAATAATAATAATATCCAGTATCTACAGCTCTCTGTACAATATCCAGTATATACAGTCCAATGTCAGAGACAATAAAGAGAATATCCAATATAGACACTTATTTCATACTCACAAATTTATGCTTCATATTGTATATGTAGGCTTACTAGCCTAAAAGCCCCCCCCCAAAAATTAAAGTGACATTTGGTCCAGCTTAGAAAACAGTAATAATAATAATAATCTTGAAGAAATAATTATGAATTCCTCAATTCACTTCACGGAAATTCAAAGCCTCACTTGAACTCAGATTCGGGTTCAGTTCCGGTCAAAAGACCGATTAATGATGATAGTCCGATTTGGGCCGAAATTGCTATTTGAGTTGAAATTCTAATTCAGGCCAAAAACTAACTTCTTCAAATCACAAACTCCGTGGAAGTTCAGTTGTGTTGAGTTCTTCAAATCAAAAAAAAAAAAAAACGCTGCAGAATTTCAAAACCTCACATCACAAAAATTCTCACTTTAACTCTAATTCCTTGGCATTTTGAAGAAATAAAATTGATTTCCTCAATTCACAAAGTTTGGGAGAAATTTTGAAATGAATTTAAAACAAAAAAAAAATTAATTCACAAAGTTTTTTTTTTGTAACTTTAAATTCCATATAAATTAAAACCTTTTAAAATTACTAATTTTTTTTCAGTTATTTTAAAAATTCAATTTTTAACTGTTCCATCCACATCCGAACACAAATCCCAATGCTGGATGTTCAAGCACCAGATGAAGGGCAGATTTCAAATCCCGGGATCATCCTCATTCCAAAAAGGTATATGTCACTGTAGAAAAAAAAGTGTGGCAAGAGGGTTTTCAGACACACGGACGGACATACAGAATTTGTTGTTTCTTTAGATAGATAATTATTAATGATAACTTGAAAGGAATGTATGCCCCATTCCACCAAACCTTTCAGTTACTCCTCTACACTCTTAGATGAAGATACGATAACAGGTAAATGGACTTTGCACCTAATATTGTTAATTCATCTTGTATGAAACTGGCATTATGCCCACTTTTATGATAAGAGGCTGGGATTTTGTCCATTGGGGTTTTCAGGTGGATTTTTGTCCACTAGTTTTTGTCATGGATTCACTATTCCCTGGAGATATTCACTCGAGACTGAGAAGCCAGTGAGTGAGTTTGCCTATTGTGTGGCCCTTGCATTCACAGCAAATGTGCATCAATTTTTGCACAGCAATCCGCGGAAATTATTCGAATGGTTTTAGGCTGTATTGTGGAGTGGTTCAGTGAGTGAAGCCCAAATAAAAGTTTTGGCCGAGGATCCATTGAAAGTAATCCACATTCTGGAAGGATTTCAAAACACCTGGAACTGTTGAACGCCCCCGAGTTGCAATCAAGGTGTATTTGGCGTTTGGCATTGCGTGGACTCGAAGATGGATTACACGGACTGTCCGGAAACTATGCAGCCCATTTGAATCCTTTGCCTGTCCATTCTACATGTCTCGCTCGGTGATTTTTTTATTTTTTTTTATTCGTAACGTCTCCTTACCCAGGACTGTCAGAACTTGCAAAGTTGATATTTGTCTATTCTGAGACTTCACGTTTTGCCCAATATTACCGCTAAAAGGGAAGAACCGCCAGACTATGGATGAGATTAAGGAGAACGTGACTAAGCAACTAACGGCAATAGGACTTTCGCAATTAGAAGAGTCTCTGGGAAAAGGTATGCGAGGTCTCAGGAGGAGCACTTTGAAGAGCGCTAACGGATATTTTCCCCAGGTAGGTTACTTTTCCATTAGTATTAAATTATATGGATCATCATTTTCTGACGGGAC